TTTTTTTTTCACTTCTAACTGTCAGCAAGAAAGGAAACACACACGGCTCTTTGAGACTTAACGTCATGATGAATTCACTTGACTGGTTTTTAAATATTTAATTACCTTTGACCCATTTCACTTGAGATCCTTGAATCTTTCACCTGCAGAGCGAACGCTCTCCTATTTAGCTAAAAACCCTTCGACAAATTCATGCAAATGATTTGCTATAATTATTTTTCCTTTTCCGCAACGTTTTAGAACGTTTTTTCTTCAAATTCATGACTGCGCATGCGTTCTGCCTTGCACATGCGCACTGCGCAGGGGACACTTATTCTGTCCCACATATGTGAGTTGACCGAACCGATTACACATATAAGTTTGCTTTTTACTATAATATAATAACTTCTCATGTGTCTCTCCTTCTTACTTCATGACATCATCCCTAATTAGCATACTTCCGACCTCTTCCGAAGGCTTCCGACGATACCCGAGCCTCGTTCTAAGATATTTCCGATTTCCAAACAGTACCACCTCATTAACTTTCGGAAAACCCTCTCCACCAATCAGAAGGCTGGAAAGACAATACAACTCATTTGCATCACAATGTGTGCTATATAGACGACCTATGCTGCTTACAAAATGTCCGTTAAATTAAGAGAAACGTAAAAATAACCGCTTAAAACATTAAAGAAAGGTTAAAACAACAAAAACAACAGATGCCACGGATGGGCAAAACTGAAACCGGGATTGAAATTATGGTTTTTTGAGAACTGTTCAGCCTAACAGTTTTTCAAAGTTGATTTGTGCTGTTTGCAACTTTCAAAATTATGCCCAAGAGACATAGTTGTTTGTCTCGGATCTCTGATTTTGTCATTTACATGTAATTTCTTTGCTTACTTTAAGTTCCATAGCGATTGAGGGCGAGTGATGGGCAACTGAATTAAACAAAATAAACTGGACTACTGTGATACAGCCCCTTTAAAGTTTGTGTTGAGTTTTACTATGTGGCTCGCTTTCTTTCCATGACGTGAAACCCCAGGACACTACAGTTTCATAACAAGACAAAAAAACCACCCTAATAATACGAACAGAGAAATATGGCAGCACGTGGACGATACAACAATTCCAGAGCCTGTGGCTAAGAATCAAGGAAACATGATTCAAGACACTTTCAACGAATAGGTCGCTGAGTCCCTGTGAGTCCGACGAACAAACTTAAGTTGAACGAAAGCAAATGTAAAGAGATGCGAATTCTCCTTTGCTAAGATCGATGCTAAGTTCGCTAGTATTTTGAAACTACCATCAAGTGAACGAGAAGGCAATCGAGGTGATGTCCAGTGTCAAGCTACTTTGCCTGAACATTTCAATAGATCTGAAATGAACCTGTCACATGTCACAAAGTTCCAGCAAGGTCTCGGCATGGCTCTACTACCTAAAGCAACTAAAGACGGCGAGCATCGCAACCGAGGAAATTATAAACTTTTTATCAACATGCGTCCGTCCGGTCATAGAGTATGCTTGTCCCGTTGTTCACAACTCACTCCCAAGCTACCTCTCAGATGAGCTTGAGGGCTTGTAGATGAAGCGCGCCATGAGAATTATTAATTCTCTCGCATGCCTGCACTTATCAGGAGGCACTAGGACTCGCTAGTTTAGAAACTCTTTTTGAGCGAGGACAGGTTCAAACGGTCGAATTGTTTCAAAACATAAGTAACAATCCCGACCTGGCAAACTATACAGTTTTTGTCTGGTTTCAAACAAACACAGTCTTAATCTGAAAAATAACCGAAGATTTCACGTTTCCATTTGTAAAACGGACAGACTAAAGAGTTTTTTTTTCTCCAGTTTTTTTACAGAAATTGTATATAGGCCAGGTGATTTTATTAGATGATTTTTGTGGGTGTACATTTTAGCGTGGTTAAAATGTTTGTATTCATGATCATATGTAAAGTTTTATCTAATTCAGCTCTAGAGATGTAATTTTTTTTAATTTTAAGTTTGAATAAATTATCTATCTACCATGTGTCTTTCCAAGAGCAATGTCAGATTGAGGGCCGTGCGATGGATGAATAAAACAATTATTAGTTTTGGATTTTGTGACATCCCGTTTAATCAAAGTCTCGGTAAGTGTTATTAGCCTCGGCCCTCGGCTTGCCTGATCAGTTAAGACCTACCTTGAAATATATAACGCCAAACCTGCTGAAAAAAATAGCAAACTGCGAAGACGAATAACGACACCTTGAGGACAATCAATCCCTGACTCTTGTTCATTAGCCCCCGGTAGGTACCGTGAGAGGTCTTTGATTCCTTTTCGGAGATTTCTATCACTTTATGAGCAACGAAATTTGTCGTTTACTTACAATTGCTCCAAGGAAACGAGATCTGAAAATATCCCTGACGGAAGCGTCTTGAGTTTGTTGTCGTTCAAATACCTGCAGGAAAAAAAATGACAGTTAATTTGTGTCAGTTATCCCAAGTATTGAGTTAGGTCTGGCCAAAAAGCTACACCAACTTTTTCTTCACTTGATTTTAGGCTTATATCTTTCTTTGTTTCTTCCCAGTAGTATCTCCGTTGTCCGTTGTTGTTACGAAAGTAGTTTCATGAAGATTACACTTGACGTCCGCTTTTTAGGCAAGCGAGTAAATACGAAAACACAAACTTTCCAGTCTGGCAATCACGAGCGAGTAGAGCTAGTTCTATTACTGAGGTACAGCTGGGGATCAATAGGAGGATGCTGTATTCTGATGCTAAAATGTTTTTATACATGTTCCTAATTTTTAAGTAAGATCAGTATTAGCCCGAGAACCATAATGTGATAATGCTTTCCCGGCCACTATGATTTATCTTTACCACAATAATAATTACGGTTCTATCAATACGTTCTTTAAGGAACATTTGTTTAAATGCTTGAAGAAAAATCCGCTTCATTAGCCCAACGAGACCTTAACATAGCAATGATTGAACTTTCAAATTCCCTCACACCACAACAAAGGCTGCATCAAAGCCTGATCTTAGGTGTTACTCAAAGTCTGGCAACTCGTTGTAGTTTTACCATTGAGACGATGAAATTCGCGTTAAATTTCGCTTCAAGGGAAATGAATTTTGCGGGTTTTGCAAATTTTGCGAAAAATGATGGAAAATTATGTAATTTATCTGGAAACAGCGTCCATTTGGCATAATTTATAAATTATAACTGCGAACGTGTTTTTTTGCTTCCATATGGTCATTAGGTGACCTATAAAACACATAAATTATTGCACATTTGCCTCAAAGGCAAGCAATTAACATCAATATAACAGGTAAAATACGGTATGCGAAAAAATAGTTCTGAACTGACGTGCAAACAATAAGGGTCCTTCTACTATAGTATTTGCTTCTGCATGCATCGAATCAAGAGAATGACTTTTTTGGCTAAATGGCTGTCGTAGCCATAAAGCTCCCTAATTGTGTAGAAGAGGTATGCAAATCAATTTTCTCATCTCCAGAGAATACCAGACTTTCCAGCTTATCAAGAATTTAAGACCACCTGTTGGAAAGCAAACCGGTCAGTGCAACGTTCGGCGTTTGCTTGCGCGAATAATTTAGTCTTTATCATAAACAAAAACCTCGCCAAGGAGAAAGCAATGTACAATACAGTCAGGCGGCTGATAGAGAGATAGAAGTAATTCCCAGAAAAGTTTCCCCGGTATTGCGCACAAACCGCAGGACGTAAGGTTTGACTCAGGTGCGGCCTGGAAATGGTGCTGATAGACCTTTTGGTTATCTATGGTCAATGGTTGGAGATAACCTTGGAGCGGTAAACTTGGAAGGGGCTGTTAGGGTCACTGAGGTAACTCAATCAGAAGAACCGTGTAGCATCGCTGTCTTGTTCACTAAGACTGATATTTAAGAAAGGCTTCTCCGTATCAGTTGCAAAACCAAACGTATGGCGGGGGAATCCGGGTAGGATAGCAGTTAAGTCATTAAGAATAGGTGGCCCTGGTAACAGACTGTCATTAAGGCTAGGGTGTTCTTGGGATTGTCGACAGCTGCAGTCTTACATGACACATATTGGGGTCCCATGCAGACTACACAAGCTCTTGTGTCTGGTTGCAGATTCCTTAAACAAGGCATGGTATGGGAGATAGTGGCAGGTACCTACAGTGGTTTCGGGGTCTGTCACTCTTTCTGTGAAGACCCATTTCTCCTGTTCAGTGATAATAAAATGTCACTGTCCATTTTCACTTTCTGAAGGTCTCTTGCAAGATGCTGCCCCATTGAACGTGTTCTTCTTTCAGCGATGTTGAGTTAGTTGGTAAGGGCGGATGATCGGTCTTCGATGGCAGTTTGGTAGTGTATCCCCTTTCTATCAAAGTGATAGAAAGCTCCCGATAGTCATGTAGGAAGTCAGTACCCTCGCCACTGATCTCGACGGGCTGGATGCTTACTGATTCCAAATTTCAGAAATTCTCACGTTTTTCTGTCGCACTTGGTAATAATCGACGCATTTTGTAATGAAATTGTCGCACTTTCAAATAAAAAAGCTGTCACACTTTTAATAACAGACCATCGCACTTTATAATAACACTTGACACACTTTGTAATAAATTTGAAATGGATGGTTGGAGGACAAGTAATCCCAACAATAAGTCATCATCATCAACCGCCCAAGACAAAAGCAGAATTACTATATCACCTGAACAGTCCAGTGGCTTCAGAGAAATATGTAACGTTAGACAACCGGGTTGGGCCTTAAGAGCTCACTATTAATCGATGTAAATAACAGAAAAGGTAGTAAGGAATTTCTGCTTGGAAAATTAAACGAAGGGGCGAGAAGTGGATATAAAGCAGACCCTGTCCAGTTTGCTAAGGAAATAAAAGAAGTGAGACACGAAGGAGGCCACGTCGTATTCACGACTAAGGAATGGGGAAGTTCAAAACAGATCACCAGCTTGTTTCCAAGACTCACAGCTGCTGTTCAGCACCAATTAGGTGTTAGAAAGAACGAGGATTTTGTTAGAATCCAATCAGAAGTTGCTCACGAAACACTCAGGTCCACCCTGTTGAATGAAATGCGAACACCGGACCATCCCACATGGTTCTAAGTACATATTTGATAGTTGGTTTTAACTTACTACATATGTGAGGTAGTAAGTTCTAAGTAACTACATAGGTGAGCCAGTAGGTTCTAAAGGTACAGTCCGTGAAGTTGGTTGTTTCATGACCAATCTGTGAAAACCTTGGATTGGAAACGAATGGCTCTTTCTCCAGGAAGAAAAAAACTTTCTGCGAGCCGTTAGAAAAGTATGCCCAAAAAGTATGCTCATGTCTAGAGAAAAGATAACCTTTCTTTTTTCTTTCTTTTTCTGTAAGGGTACTTAATAGTACATATTTAGATGTCACACGATTTAGCAGTCCTAACCAATGACAACCGCAACAGTCATGAATTATGTAGTACATAGAATATGAATATCCACTGTTACTGTTAACAACAGTCATATTCAGGACTACACTTACCCGAACGATCATATTCTAGTTGCTTATGAAAAATAAAAGCTAATTTTGGATAACGGATGCAAACGGTTGAAAGAACTACCGTGGGGAAAAAATGTATACCTTACCTAAAGATGTAAGAGACAAAAACGTCTTGCCGCTTTTAAAAATTGAATTCAATTCATAGATAGTGTTTTATTATTGAAATGTAAATAGTCTTCAAAATTAGTTATTTATTATTATCATTACAACTTTTTTAATTCGATATTTCATTATCGACATATATCGACATGTAAATAGTTTTCTAGTTTAGTTTAATTTATGTATGAATGGCGGAAGAGCCCCCAAGGGAGAGCGGTGTAATAAAGTATGTATGATGAATGTAACTCACTGCATTTCAGCATTTATTTTGTTACTTTAAAAATGTTGGGAAACTGTATTTTGATTTTGCCGATTTTTGCTGACTAACATCCTCAGTCCTCCAAAAGGATTGTTCGTCGCTCCCCACCTAAATCTAAGTGAACATTTAATTAACACAAGTGAAATTGACGAATCGCACGAGACGAAAATTTTGACGTGCTTTTTGATGTAAAAGTAGCGGCTCAAATTACACTTATCTTGTTATCAGTGAAAACCAGTGGATTTAGAACTTTGTTAAATCTAGCTAAATCCCTTTCCGAATCAATATGAAGGGCTTTTCCACGACTTGTTCAGACCTAAATAAAACAAAAACGTACGCAAACTAGACTTTATGTTAAGCATTTAACGGTTTTCTTGCAGAAAACATCGCATGTTAAACTTGATCACGGCAAACGTAATGTTTGCATTTCGCGGTAAATATTGCTTATAAACACGTGGAAAAGCTGTAGCGTAATTCAATTTTTGAGCAAACCAGCTTTTTAAATGAAACAGCAGACTAAGAGCATATTTATGGATGAGACGCAAGCATTCGAACAAACCTGTTGGCTTAAACTGTAAGATAGGTAAAAAATTGGCGGGAAATTGTATGTCATTTTTGCCGATTTGGGCGGACTTCAGTGGTCAATTTTGCAAAAGGATTTGGAGCTCCCAATCTAAATATCACTGAAAATTCTACCAAAGCCATTTTGATTTGAAATTTTATCCGCGCGGTTCAAAATTGGAGGATCCCCTCAAAGTCACGTGAGACGCAAATTTGTACGCTCGCCAAAGACATCATAATAATTCAAAATCATTCATCTCGTGAATACAAAAGCATCGCATCTTTGATAGAGGTAGGTAAAATAACTTGCGCAAGTTACCCCAAATTTGACACGGTATTCTACTGCAAATTGCCCAAAAAAGTTAAGTGCAGACGGGCTTTAAAAGTCAAGTTACGTGCTCGTTTTCCGTGTAGGTGAACAAGTAACAGTTCGACTAATCGATGGCTCTTCGGGAGGATAACAGGATTGCGCATTTTATCAGGAAGCGTCCTTATGTTTCCCAATCTTCCGTGCGCGCGTAGTAATCCATGCTCGTCCTTTGACGGAATAAGCTTCTTATCTAGCTTGTCGACGTCAATCGTCTTCTGGCACCATTTGAACAACCGAAGTTCTGACTCCGTCAGTTCTTTTGGCGAAATTGGACCTCTATTCTTCGTTTTCATTCTTGTGTTGTTGACGAATCTTAGTACGTAAGCTAACATTTTCCTGGCCTTTGCCAATGTTGAACACGTTCTCGTCAAATGTTCAAAGAGAGGATTGTCTCTTAATTCTTTCTGGGCAGTTGAAAGTTCTGCTTTGCCGCAGGACGTTGGTCTGGCCTGAATGCGATGTTTCATTTCAGCTGAAAACTCTTGATTAATCTTCAGCGCATTTTCTTCAAATTTGGGCCACTCTTCTTGCAGCTTTCTAAGGAACTGCGGTCCTTGTGACCATTTTTCTAGCTGTTCCGGGAGAATCCCTTCGTCAAGGCGTCAGCTGGATTATGTTTAGATCTGATGTAGCTGAACTCTTGAGGGTCTATTGTCTCTTGGATTTCAGTAACCCGTACCGAGACAAACGGTTTAAATTTTATCGGACTTGTTCTAAGCCATGACAGCACAATTTGGGAGTCGATCCAGAACCATTTCTTACCGCTGCTAATCTCCGCGAATTCTAAGGCTTCTCTACATGTTCGGTATAACCTTGAGAGCGCGAGACAACCCATTAACTCCAAGCGCGGTATTGACTTCTTCTTTAGTAGTGATACAAAGGCTTTCACCATTATTGGCTGTACGCAGGTGTAGCTGCCGTCATCAAGTTGCCAACGAATAAACATGTCTGAACCATAAGCCTTCTCTCCCGCATCACAGAATCCGTGTATTTCTGGCATTCCAACTGCATTATCTGGCTTTAGCTTTCTTTTGAATTCGTACTTGAGAAGTTGGTTGAGTACTCGTCTGGTAGGACTACATCCTAGGAATAACCTGAACTCCACAATTCTTGTAAATCAATTTTCATCTTGATGGTTGTTGGAGTCACGAGGCCTGTGGGATCCCAAAGCTGGGCCAGGTAGGCGAACAATTTCTCTTTGTAACAGGCTTCTCCTCTGCAAGAATTTCGGTTTTCTTGAAGGTAATGGTGTCTCGAACCTTATTCCATTTTTTCCCAACAAAATCTACATGTTCTTCATCTGTCTGATCAACTTTCTTGTTATTTGAATGCCACTGTTTGATTTGAAACTGACTTTTGCTGAGAATGGCGTCGATTTCACTCGTGATTTGCTTGCTATTATCCTCGTTTTCTCGGGAGCCACCAATGTCATCAACGTAGACATGGGTTCGGAGTTCCTTCGCAGCATCCGGGTACTGCTCTTGAGAAGCTTTGGCTAAGTAATGATTGTTCCTGCAGCTATATCTGGGGATGGTTTGTCTCCAAAGTTAAGTTTTTTCCACTGATGGACTTTTTGCTTCAAACCTTTGTTTGTCCTCCATAGGAATCTGTGGAAGACTTGGTCGTCAGGATGGATCAACACTTGATTGAACATTTTCCTAACATCTCCGGTATAAGCCACTTTGTCAAAGCGCCAAGCCATAAGCACGTTGGGCAAACTGTTTATGTAGTTTGCTCCCTTTTCGAGATGCTCGTTAAGCCACTTTCCTCTTCGACCGTTCGCTGAGGCATCGAACACTAGTCGAACTTGCGTTGTTCGATCAGGTGTGAAAACGGCTTGTAAAGGCAAATACCATTCAGGCTGATCATGGTTTACGTTTTCAGGGGAAATTTCAACGACGAAATCTTGATCCAGCAACTTTTGAACTTCACTTTCAACTATTTCGAGACAGTCTTTCGTCTTAAAGGACTTTTCAGAGGAAATCATTCTTTTATATGCAACATCGTAATTGCTCTCTTTTGGGGGTCCCTCGCCATTCCAAGGCATTCGCCCCTGGATTCTCCCCTTAGCAATCTGAGTCGATTCTGCAATTGATTTGATAAACTTGTTCTCCTTAAGATCATTATCTCTGCACGTACAAAGTTCGGTTGGTACTACTCCCAACATGATGTCTTGGGTAAAACGTTTTTTCATGTCTTCTAACACATCGACAGTTCCTACATCAATTGCATTGATAGCCGAGGGACGTTCACCCTGCTTTGAAGCAAATGTTCCCATGACGTACTACCCGAAGAAATTTCCCTTTTGCAATTGGTTCTTCGGATTTCCCCGCGATTACGTGCATATCATTAAGGGCGTCGGCAAAGTCTGTTCCAATTAACAAATCAACTGTTCCGCCCGATAGATGTAATTACTCTGAAATTGATTTCAAATGGGGATAGCTTCTAACGTCGTTCTCGAGACTGTTCTAGCTGGGCTGCATAGTTTGTTTATTGCATAACCTCGCATAAATTTCTGAATACTTGGTTCAGTGTTTGAAACAACAGTTATGTCGAGAAAGTCTGATGCTTCAGACTTCTTTTGGCCTCCTGCTAAGTTCATCGTTAAATGCGTTTTGGGACCGCGTATTCCAAGTTTCTTCACAACGTTCTTTGAAATGAAACTTGTGTTTGAGCCGCTATCTAGCATAGCTAGGGCTTCGGTAAAATTTTCATTTTGGCCCCTAATCTTTACTTTTTGAACTGGACAAATAGTGGGGACGCTTGTCTTGCCCTGGACATTGTGATAATTAGCTTCTCGACTTTCGTTTGAGGATGGAAGGGTTCTGTGCCTTGGTCTCAATTTGCAAGATGTAGACGCTCATTGTGTAAGGAACGATGGTGGCGTCGCCTACACTCATCGCAAGTGGTACCGTCAGGCTTTTTACAAGAGTTTGTATGATGGGCTCGTTGGCATTTTCGACAGCGATTGTTTTGTTTTGCAATTTCCCATTTCTCATCAACTGTTGACTTTTGGTACATAAGACGTGCGGAAAGTAAATGGTTTGTTTTGCAACCCAGTGGGCATTTTTCATCCTGGTCTAGTCCACTGTTGTTAGAGTGCTTGCGTGTTAACGTGCTTCTTTGTCTAGCCAATCAATCAAATTTAAAACATTTTCTTCTTTTCCCATGCGTAGCATTTCGCGGCCAAATTCAATGTTATCGCTGGCATCCAATTTAGACAGAAGCTGTGACATGACAAAGGGTGCTTCCGATGTGCTTGTTACTGGGCAACCGTTTTG